AGATTGTTATATTTTATATGTTAGATCTAAATTATTTTTTAATAGATACTTTTTTAAAAAATTTATTAGGTATTTATTAAAAATATTTTAAAGCTCATTAAATATTTTTTAATAATGTTTTAAAATTCAATGAGTCTTTACTTAAAATTTTTTTAAAAATTTCATTGCTACAGTAATTTTATAGAAAATGGATATTTACACATAAATATTATATATTACATTTACATAACATTTTAATAACTCATTTTTATACTTTTAATAGTTAAGATTTATTATAACTTTTTAAATAAAAAAGATAATTATCTTTAGGCAAAATTCTTGAATCCACCCCTTAATTAGGTCCACTTCTTAAAAATAATGCAGACACAAATTATCCCTCTAAATTATTGATCAAGATAAATCATTTATTATTTAATATGTGACATCATTACCTATAAGCTTTTTATTAAAAAATGCTTAGATGACAAATGAATTTTTTATATATGATGATAATACATGTTAAATAATAAGTGATTTATCTTAATTGATAATTTAAAAGGATAATTTATCTATATTTTTTTTTAGGTGGATTTGTCCTTACTCTTCTATTTAAGGGGTGGATTTAAAAGTTTTGTTTTATCTTTAATAAATATAAATAAATCACAAAAGATGAATAGTTAAGATTTCATATAAATATAGTGTAAAATTAATATGTAAATGAATTTTTATTTAATTTTTTAAACAATTAATATTTTAAACCAAGCAAAACTTATAAAAAAAAAAAAGTCACAATGGAGTTAACCAAACAAACCCAATTGACCAAGGCAGAACCCTCAAATCATCCCTTGACAAATATGGGTAGGGACGGATCCACCCTTCAAAAAAAATCAGGGACAAATGACACCCCAAAAGTATCGATCTACCCAAATCGATCATTATCTAACAGATGATGTCATCACCGTCACAATCTCCGTTTAGCCGGTGCCAGCGTGTCGTTTTTTTACATGCTGGATGCTGATGTGTACCAATCTCGCTTTTTTCACGCATCGTGTCATTTGTGCGCCCTTTGTTTGACAATATGACTGGTGGGTCCCATTATTTATCCCATTTTTAATCGATATTTGATGATCAACTTGTTTGCCCTTGTTAAGAGTTTTCAAAGTTGGGGGTTAGGGTTCTCTTCAAAACCACAAAACCACAAGGCTTTCTCTCATTTCTACAATTCCTTCCTGAAATTAGTCGAGGGGAAAAGATTGTGGGTGTTTGTGAGTTTATTTGCATGGAATCTTCCTCTAATTCTGGAGATAGACCTTGTCGAGCCTCTGCTGGTGCAAGTGATGGTGCAATGGCGAGAACAGTTGTGAGGGATGTTGGGCTGGTTGAGTACAACTATGAAGGTCCTCAAATGTACTATGAGTGTGGCTTCAAGGCACCAAGGTGGACTTCATGGAGACCATGGAGCATTGGGAGATGATTTTATGGTTGCCGGCACTTCTTGAATGAGGTAAATTTGGGGTTCTACCTTAAGCCAATGTAATATTACTCATCTATTGTTTTTTGTTTTCTTCCAATTTTTATTTACTACTTTTAGGTTGTTTAATGACAGGAGTGCCCGTATTTTGTTTGGCATGACTTGGAATTGTCCCATGAGAGAGCCATTGAGCTACTAAAGTTGTTGATTATCGAGAAAAAGGCTCTTACAACAAAAAATTCAATATTGAGAAGGCAATTAAGAAACAGAGTGAATGGAGGTGCAGTTGTTGAGTCAAGCCACACCATTTCTACAATAGATGAGGACACCATACAAAAATTTGATGAAATTATTGAGAAAACTGTGGCAAATGCTATGAATGATATTGTTGAAAGCAATTTGATGTCTTGATTGCAGCCTCTGTTGGTGTTGAGCTCAAAAAATTAATGGTTTATACTGTATTTGGTGTCTTTGTTCTAATGGTTGTGTATTTGATGTTTTGGGTGTTGTTCTAAGTGGGTAGGTGGTGTTTCAAGCGTAAATGTATGGCCCTTGTTTTGGTGTTTTGTGGTCATATGTGATGACCAAAATTTTGGAAGCTTTAAGAACATGCCTATAAACCATTGTAATGTAATTGAATATGTTATGTATCAATGGAAAAAAGGCTTTTCTACATTTGTAAAGCTATTTGTAAATCAAGACATAAATAATAAATACCTAGGTTTTTGATAACCTAAAAACTGTAAAATAACAGCAGATGATAAACATTTTGTAACAAACAAAAGAACCAAAAGAACATTGTACTTCATAACACCAATAGGTTGTTCAGAAACACATTAGCATAATACCAAAATAAGCTTGTTCACGAGCACATAAATACATTTTTCATACATAAATAAAAGTATAACATTAAAGGCCAAATCAATAATTGTATACACTGCCAATAAACAAAAAAGTAGTCATGCCATCAAAAACCAGCCTTCATGCTCTGTCAAGCCTTATCCTTTCCCTTTCCTTTCGAACCCTGTTTGTTTTGCACTTGCTTGGATTTTTTTCTGGATTCCGCTCTGCCTTCATCGATGACAATGCCAGCAGCCTCCATGACCTAAACAGAAAAAATTAAGGTGCACATTTCATTACCTTATACATTAAAAAAAAAAAAAAAGAGTTATAAACACACAAAAAAAGGAATTGTACACAATAAATATTGTTATTTTTTCTTACACTATCATTAAGCTTTCGTTTTGCTTTTCTTGTTCTTCCTTCTACCCTTTCCAGATAGACAGTATCACCTTTTTTACCAACCTTTGTGCTCTTTTTTGCTGCTTTTGGTTTTTGTGTGGGATTTGAACTCCTTTTACCTGTTTTCTTGACCTGCCATTCAATAAAGTTAACATGTCAAATAAAGTGTAACATTGCACAAATAAAGTTGCACAAGTAAAGTGCAATAGCAAAGTTACCTTGGTTTGACTAGGGCCTGCTTGTTCTTTGTCTTTCTGTGGACCCAACTTTGTTGTGCCCTTGTTCACCACACACACTACAAGTGTACACAAATCCATGCTTTGATAACTTGGTCAATTTCCCCTTCTTAAGTTTCATAGGCTCATCCTTTGCCCTTCTTCTATTCCTTCTAGGGCGCCCTGGCATTGATCTCATCTCCGGTGGCAAACATCCTCCTTCTGGCCTCCTTCTCAACACTTTGTTCCTTCTGAGGCATTCTGGTGTGGTCCCATAAGTTTGAAGGTACTTTTCCTTTTTGTAGTACTCATCAACAAAGTACTCAAAACTCCAATATTTGAATCTTAATGCACAAAGTGCGTATGAGCAAGGAATTCCAGTGAGGTTCCATTCTCTACATGAGCAATTTGTTTCATGGACATTGACCACATGTGTATGCTATGTATGCCCATCAAACACAGCAAAGTCATTGTCACCATTCCACCTCACATTGCATTTCATTGATAGGTTATTACTATCATTACTTTTCTTCAGAACTCTAGGTACAATATTAGTTGCCCATGTATCAACAAACAACTTTTTGTCTTTAAATCTCTCCATGAGCTGGTCAATTAAAGTCCTAAACATTGAAATAATGGCCTTGCATCTTGCACCCAAAATCCATGCATTAAAAGTCTCACACATTATGATCGATCACATCAGACTTACAATGCTCATTAAAAAAGGCCTTGCACCAGAAATTACCAGGCAGTTTATTCAGTTCAGCATAAGCCTCCTTAGACAACGCCCTTAAAGCATCCATTTTGTCCAGATAGTCGAACTCATTGGTTGCCCTACATGCCAACCAAAATGCAAGCTTGATGTCATGACCTCTATTTCGCCTTGCAAGATTGCAGTAGAGGTGCCTTACACAATATTTATGCCAAATCAATGGTAATACCTCTGCCTTTGCATTAATAATGCCCTGCACAATTAAGAATGCATTTAATTATTATAATAGACACATATGTCCCTAATCATAAAAAGTTAATAATAATTGTGATAAATACTTACTAGATGTCTATCAAAAATCATGGTGTAATCCTGTCCATCGCCCAACTCCAAATCATTTGCAAGCTTTTCCATGAACCACTGCCAAGAATCATTGTTTTCTGACTCAATGATAGCCCATGCAATTGGGTACATCTGGTTATTTCCATCTCTACCAACAACAGATAACAGTATGCCCTTGCATATTCCCTTAAGAAAACAACCATCAACCCCAAAGATTGGTTTGCATCGTTCTTTCCAACCATCACTAACTGCTTTCAAACACACATACATCCTGCTAAACACTCTTTTACTAGCAGAATTCTCATCAGTTGTAATAAAAACTGAGTTCCCAGGGTTTACTTCTTTCAAGTACATCCCAAACGCATTAATCATAGCATACTCATCTTTGTAACTTCCTTCCCTCTCCTTTAAAACCATTCTTTTTGCCCTTTCACATTTCTTGAAGTTGACATTTACCCTAAGCTCATTATAAGCAAATGTCATCATGTCTTTACATTTTATGAAAGGAGTGGCATAAATTCTACTTTTGAAGTACTCAGCCACCATCTCACAAGTCATCATCTTGTTGTTAGGATTTCTAAAGCAAGTGTGTTTAGGATAGTAACTCTTTACCTTGAAATTGTCATCCCTCTTCTCAAATGAAGCATAAATCTCCCAGCTACACAAACCAGCCTTGCAAACAAACCTTTGCCTTTTAGGTTCATTCTTAATGTGTATAAGGGGACATCCTTTCCTCACAGAATAATGTTTGATTGCTTCCTTGAATTGTTTGGAACTTTAAAACTTCATTCCAACTTCAAAAATAGGGACATCTTAAGCAGGATTAAAGTAGACATTTGAAGCTTTTCTTGGTCTATCTACTGCCCTAAGAGTAGGAAAAATGTCACCTTCAGAAGCTGTTGATGAGTCCCTCAACTTGCCAGCATCATCAATTGGAGTAAATTCACTATCTCTCCCATCATTATCACTGTATAAGCACCCATCATTATCAACTGGAATTGATTGGGATGGATGTACTGGATCTCCCTTCTTTCCTTTTTTAAGGGTTAAGTCCTTCCCCTTGTAAGACTCTCTACCTTGTGGCAATGTTTTATACTCTTCTCTGCAAGCTTGGCCTTTTCCTTTCTCCTTCTGGCCTTCTCAACAAGATCTATGGGAACCCCTTTGCTTGTAGATGTTGAGGTTGGATCTGTTGCTTTCTTTGTGGGACTAGATCTAGGAGTTGGTTTCTTTGCAACAGTTTTGTACCTAACCCTTGTTTTTGAACCCTCAAAACCTGGAGGAACTTCTAATCCTTCTGTTGGTTTCCTTAGAGACCTTGCAGTAGCCTTCACAGCAATGGCTTCATCATCATCTCTGTCACTACCATCAACAGGATCTGCTTCTTCATCTGTTGAGCTCTAGTCATCAACAGAACACTCTTCTTCACAGCCATCCCTATTACTGCATTCACCTCTTTCATATGAATTTCCAAATTTACCCTTATTACCACCAATTGCCTTGTCTTGGGTTATGTTTGCTATGTCACCTTCCTCTTCTCCCTCATTAACTTCATTGTTACTATTCTGGCCTACCCTATCTTGTGGTCCCCAATCCTCATAAACTACATCATTATCAATCCAACCTATTGATAGAGGAGCAATTTCAGCAAAATTAACCTCATGGTCCACATAAAACTCACATATCATCTCTTCTCTGACAATCCTCATAACATCCCTAATACTATCATCATCTGCCAAAGACTTTAAATGCCTAGGCATGCTTGCTAACATTCTGTTGTAGTAAACATTTTTAATCATAACGTCCTCATATCCTAAACCTACAATGAAATCCATGATGAGATCAACATTCAACCTATCATAGTCAAATGCCTGTTCTGTACATATTCCCCTTTTGTACTCAAATGGAGGTCCAGCCACGAATGTCCCCCCATGGAAAATGGACAAAATCCCCCAGTAATCATCTGCCATTCTGGTCAATGGTAACACAAACCAAAATTAATGTGGTCCATCAATGATAAAATATATTATATAATCGACAAAATGCACATGCATCCAACACTTACAATCAACGACAAACTAGAAAACTTTATAAACAAACATTTTCCAAGAAAAAGCGACTGCAAAGGCTTACCTTTACTTTGTCCTTCACCTTGAACCCTACCACCAACTACAACACTGAGTGTGCGAGGGCCCTTTAAAGCTTCAGTATTTTCTTTAGATTCGCCAGAAAAGAGTTGAGCCAACTCTCGTCCCGTACTCAAAAGTGAATTTGGTTCAAAGATTTCTTTGAGAAATGAGTGTTCGATTTTTCTTTGCAAATCAGAGTCGAAGACGGAGGTTTTCCTTCTTCCTTTTTTAGGGCTAAATGGGGTCCATGACAAGGAAAGGGGAATAAAGGTTGACACGGTGTGTGAAAAGAGCGGGATTGGTACACATCAGCATCCAGCATGTAAAAAAACGACACGTTGGCACGGGCTAAACGGAGATCGTGACGGTGATGACGTCATCTGTTAGACAATGATCGTTTAGGTAGATGGATACTTTTGGGGTGTCATTTGTTCCTGCTTTTTTTTTTAAAATAGATCCATCTCTACCCATATTTGTTAAAGGGTGATTTGAGGGTTCTGCCATTGACCAATTCCCACCTCCTACTCCAGGCCGAGCAGTCAATTCGAATACGAGAGAATTAAAAACGATGAGGAATATGGTTGAACCTGAAAACGATGAGTATAGTTGAACCTGAAAGTTGAAAACCCAACTACTCTAGTTGAACACAAATTTTTGTTTAGGGAAGAGAATCTGTAGAGAAAAATGTTAATTTTGTAATTTTGTTATTTAACATTTTTTAAATTAAAAATATAAA